AATATAACTATTTTAATTAAACAATTAGAAAAAATGTAACACGCCATTTTGAGTAATAAATAACAAAATTATTCGTTAAAGTTTATACATATACATTAAGGGGGATAAAAAAAAAAAAATAATTAAAAAAAATTAACATGGCAAACAAAAATTGTGTACGATGGACGAAAAAATTCGGTATCGAAAATTTGCTTTGAACTGAACTCGAAAAATTATGTGATGCAATTACGGGAAACATGGGAAAAAAACTTGTTGCGTTTAATGAAAAAACAATAGAACAAGAGTTTACAAATTCCATTATGATAATTAGACATTGTTTTAATCGTTATACGGACAAAACACTAACGACAACAAAACAATCGCAATAATAATAATAATCTGTGTAATTCCATATTTGTTTTTTTCTTCGCAGTATTGTTCATATATTATATATATATATATTATGCTAACCGTGTTCCCGCGGGTTTAAAACACCGCCATTTGACAGCCCGTTTAATTCGATTCGTCGGTAACGTACGAGTTGTGTGTTATTAATCTACCCCCCTCTTCTTCGTAGCGTGGATAAAATAGCGAGAAAAATCCGAGTTCAAAAAAATAAAAAAAAATAGCAAATTATTTTCGGACAGATCACGTGCAACGTCCTACACATCTGTATACACAATCTCCCATATTATTATAGGTCTCCCTGCAGCACTTGCAACTTCTTCCCACTATACTTCCCTAATTTCACACGTCATCGTACGGTTCGTGGATTAGGATCCTGTGGCAGAAGAAGTCTTACCTACATGTGCTGCTTACAAAAAAACAAATAGTGGAATACCGTAAACCGTGGCGGCGGCGGGCTGTTAGAGTGTGCGATGTGCATTATATACTATATATATATATATATAACGTATATGTAGCAGTGGCGGCCCTGTGTCATTAATCTCTGCGAAAGGTTGTTAGCCGTTGTGTCGTGTCGGAGGGAAGTACGAAAAAAAAAATAAATATAAACTGTATAAAAGCGATTCACTCGATCAGAAAAGAATACTGGGGGGGCTAAGATTATATTATACACATATTATATTATTATAATGATACCAGCGAGTCTATATATGTATTGACGAGAGCCCGTGCGGCGACCACACACACACACACACGCACACATATACAAAAGTAAAGTAATGATTTTGTTGATCTCTTTAACCCGACGACGATACACTTGTGTCGTATTACACCATCACTTTACCACTACTACCATTACTATAACTATTATACAAACTATACAGTGTAATGATAAGACATGCGCGCGTGTTTGTAGTCGGCGAAGTATATCATATTAATGTATTATACCTATTGATCGACGGGCGTATTCACGCACGCACAAAAGTTGCGATTGTGAATACCTACTCAATCATTTACACATCCCGCCCCCGCTCGTCCGCGCGTCACGAGAGACGAAACGCTGAATTTTGTTTTAAGAACCGTTCCCCGGCAATATAAACGGCGGGGCTCCGTCATCTATTGACATTTCGAGTACCTATACTTATCTATCCGATCTGGATACGCGAATTAAAACGTCTTCCGATCACATCCTGCACACATTCATAATAATATAACCTTTGTATATAACTCGTGAGACGCGCGGGTCAACGATAAGAGCTGCACTGATTAGAGCATGATGCGGCGTAATATTTGATAGATATAAATAAAAGAGTAAACCAAATGATAATCGTGACGAGATATTACAATGACTTTGGAGATTAGGTTGAGGAGACTTTGTTTATATTATCAAGATATTAATGTTGTAGATTTTTTTTATAAATCAGATGTTTGTTGTGTTCGCGTAATATATAGGTGTATAGGTAGGTTTTCGGAACTATAAAAAAAAATTAGGAATCAAAAACTAGTTATTTTAAATTGCTCAAGATGAGTTGTCACAATGGTTAATTGTTTAATTTGACTTTTAGAAATTATAATAGTAACACTTTTATTGTACGACGAACCACGCGGTTTTCCATTACCCTTTATACCTATATTGTATTATAAATAAGAAAACATACTTTTGGTTAAACCTTTGTGTTATTTTTTTTTTGCCGTACATAAAGTGAATCTGTGTGATATAAGCCTTGCAAAACAGAGCAGTCAGAGTAGTCAGAGTAGTCCTCAGTTAACGCGGTATTTAATAAAAATGCAATCGACATAATAGGCACTTAAAATTTATAATTACAATACAACTGTGTTTTTTAACATATTACATATGTTTATAATAGCAGTTTAGGCATTGTGTTTATAATTAAAATAAAAAAATATAAAAGGTAAGTCTAAACACAAATTAATTACAAAATACGGAAACATTATTTATTTAGTTAAACTATATTTAATTATGTACTTACTGAAAACTATATAATATACAAAGGAAAAGAAACGATTTAATATTTAACGTTTTAAAACCCTTTGAGTATGAATAATTGAAAGTCACCAATTAAATTAAATTTCGTCTATTTTACTCGTTATAAATTAGACGAAATTTAATATTAAGTGTATATTCTCATACTTTGATGTTACAAAAAAGTTTCTACATTATAACTTAAAAAAATGTAACTGTTATTATTATGTATATTATGATATTATGCATAATTCTATATAAATTAATTTTTATGTTATGCTATATAGCATATTATCTAAAATATACTTTATGTTATAAACTATAATGCATAATTATTTATACTAAAAAAAAATTATTATATTTGATAATCAATTTTTCTACTAAATATTTTTTTGTTGTGTTCATTACTACTTATTAGTACCTATAGGTCAGGTACAATATTTATGTATGAAACAAAAAATGTATTTTTAAATATACCGTAAAAATATGATGAAATATTGCACATAATACACGTGTATGTAGAGTAAAGACCACTCTATCCTTCGTTCTCGACTTAGTGGTTATAAGCTGTACACTAAAATAAATTGGAGTGATCGTATGGGTCATCTCGTGGGGTGTATTTTAATTTTTAATAAATACAGAGTGCTTTTGTAATGCGTACGTATAATATATCATATTATTATATTGTGTATATCTCATGTACATATATAGCGATACATGAATATTATATACAATATTAAAATTGGTTGCTGTTAAATGTTCTGAAGCAAAAATGTTTGTGTTGGAGTGCGAGGGGTATGTTTAATTTTCGAAAATACTCGATTAACAAGGTCCGTTAATTAATCGTGAAGGATATAATCAAATTAGGTACACCAAAATGAATTTCCCTCGAGAAATCACTTGACGGTGAAATACGTATACGTCAATACCCATATATATATATATATGTGTGTGTGTTTATATTACATAGTTAATATATTATGATACAGTATATACGCTATGGTGTATTTAGGTAAATAATATAATACACACACTTAACCGCCGCTTTAACGACCAACAACGAATAAATAAATATAATAAATATCATATCGGGGGATTCTTTTAAATTATTCATAATGTTATATTATAGTCTGTAAGGTTTATTCAATATTGTTTGAGGACATTCTTTATCATTGTTTGTTTAGTATATCTATTGTAAGACTTATGTATATATATTTAAAATATATAGGGATATTAACTTGGTAAGCGGCAATAGCTCGGAAATATTATAGAAGAGAAAAAACCTTACCGTTACATAAACTTTGTATACTTATTGTGACTATATAGTAGAGGAAAGGATGTATAGTTTATAACGTCTTTTGTTATATGTATAAAAAAAAAGACCACGGTTGAGTTGTTTCAGGGGAGATTTTTATATTGTTTTTGTGCTATATTTCAAAAGATAATGGCCTCTAAAATCAACAGCTCCGTTAAGTTTCATTGTGAATCAACGTTTAATGTCAGACATTATTTTAATTACATTGATAAATAATATTTAAGTCTGGAAAGACGTAGGTACTTAGGTGAAAACTGTAAAAGGGTAATAATATTATAGTCTTCTTTTTTACAACACTTTGACCACTAATTGTTATTAATTTTTAAAACAGTAATTTGGCTTGTTTTATATATAGTATACACCTACTTACTTAAAAAAATCTAAGAAAAAATTCTAACCAAGTAAAAAAATAATTCTATCGTCTGCAATGGGTCCCAATCGATGCTACGCATATTATGCTATTAGGTTTAGTACTTAGAAATTATATTATTATAATTCTTAAGTTGTTCATAAAAAAATTAGTAAAATTGAATTAATTATATTTATATATTTAGTAGACCAATTCGATTGCGCACTGACTTAGACTAATCAAACTAACCAGTACAATGCTAATTGATAACAACATGGGAATACTAATAATCAATGAAAAAAAATTAATGACCATAATGAAATTATTACCAATCATGGAACTGCTGTGATTATTCGACCAGCAAGATATCTTTTATAGAATTATTAAGTAGGTATATAAAATCGATACAAAATTAAAATAAACAAAGCATAAAATCTCATTAGTCGTAAAATTATAAAATATTAGTGGTATTCTATAAACTCGAGGAATCGATTTGATTTTTTTTTTCAAAGTAAAAGAAGATTACTTATAAATTCATAACTTAAGAATCATAATATATTAGAATACCTACCTAGTACCTACTTAATAATTTTTAAATTTAAGATACAATAAAACCATATTTAATAAATGATTCAAATTACAATGTATACGTATTAAATGTGATACTATACATTATAAAATAATATACCTATTACTTAATGCATACAAAGAGTATAAATGCAACAATGATAATATAATACTAAATCGTTAAAAATTAATTAAATGTAAGTTTATAAAATTCAATGTTTCTTTTTTAAACGTTTTCTTCTTAGAATAATGTCTAATAATTAATTTAATTTTTATAACATCAATTTAAAGATGTTTACCGTTTTGAGTTTAAAAATAGAAAACTTATTATTTTAATTATACATACGGGTAATACCTAAACGTGTATAATTTTATTATAATATAGTTTATTTATTTTTTACCTCATGTCCAGTGATGTTTCTGTATCGGACCCATTTTCCAAGCTTTGGTCTCCAGTAGTCAATCAAAAACGCTTCGGTGAACTCTTGACCCTGTCCATTGCCAAATCTGCCTTGAGTCTCCACCGACGTGATCACTCTTACCACGTGTAAATTGACTTCAAGCCATTCAGTGGGTTCCCTAGTGACCGGCTCTTTTGGACACCAAGCACCCCCTTCTCTTTCTGTGCGTACCCTAAAACAAAAAATATTAAACTTTACATTTTGCGATCGTTAAAACATGACCTAGTTTGTGTTTGAAAAAAAAAACAGAGGCTGAAAATGTCAAAAGGATTTTTGCCGTATCGGTAAAAAGTCAACTGCTGACATTATAATCCATTTCATCGTTTTATGACAGCTGAGCTAAAAAAAAAAAAAAATCTTTCCCCGTTATTATTGGCCTTATTGTTTGGAGCTAAAAGTTGTACGTGACCAACATGTAAATTTTTTAAGGGTCAAATTATATGTATACGCACATATTTATTAATGTATATTATATTAGAAGGTATTTATATATAAATATATCAGTATAAAAATATATTTCGGTACAAAATGTGTGCGTGCTGAACTTTTCGAAAAATGTGGCAAATTATGAATACTAATTTATTGTGATATTATTACTTTTAAGCACGGTGTTAAATCATAGAGCTCACGATCTTGGTGAAAATATAATATAGTGCTATAGTATATTATATCGCACATCAATACTAATGTTTGGACGAAATCAATTAACGTGCGTAATCCCTCTCATCGGTAATAATAAAATCCATAAATATTGGTCGGCAAAATTATTATTTCCTTGAGATATTAGATTTATATAAAATCAATTAATCATTAATCATCATGCATACGGGTTAACACTTAATTATAAGAATTTTAGCCAAGATGTCTGTCTTTAGATCGTAAATCGATTTGAAACGAGAAACGATGCTATGTAACTGTACGCAGGGACAAAGTTTTGGCGAAGGCACTGCACCGTATACTAAGAATGTCAAACGCACAATCGTCGATAATTTTTTTTTTTTTTTTTGCTGCCTACAGCCACAAGAATCATTACAAAATTAAGAGAAAATAAAGAGAAAAATAAATACGATTTGTGTTTTGAGTCGTAATACTATGTCAGAGAGAGAGAGATAAAATACACAAATGATGTACTTTACCAACGAAAGCAATGATCTATCTTTTTTTTTTTTTTTTTTTACAATTTATTTAGTTATTTAGTTTTTAGTAGTACTTGTAAATGTGAGCAATTATTTTCATTAATGAATAACAATAAATCTCCTGTTATATGATCCGAATCAATTGATATTAATTTTTTAAATTCTGTATTAAAGGTAGGTGGCTTCTTACAAATAAGATTTTTCTCGAAATAAAAACAATAAAAACAAATTACTAATTTAAATAATATCGAATAAATTTGACTTTTTATTAATGAATTCAGTTTTAAAAAAATCGAGCAAAATATTTATTTATTTATTTTAATGTTATTCTAATCAATATTTTTAGTTCGGTCGATATTTGACAATGCTTTTCGTCGATGTTCAGTACCAAATAACGTGTTGTAAATTAAATCATCTCGAATTTTCGACTAACATGAACATTTTATTGCGTAATATACGATTACGCATCATCTGGAATAATTATTGGTAAGTACTAAGTACACGCACAGGTGTAGCACTAATATTATGTTATGTATAAAAGACTAACGTCATCGAGCCACGCCACGCCGGCGGCATCACAGGTGAGGGCATCAGACATAACTTGCACTCCAATGAAAACAGGCTATAGCGTACGACGGCGAAAACAGTTTGGTCAAGAATCGGAAGACATCACGACGGACACGGAGAAAAGGGCCATGGAGACTATTTGAGCGCATTTTCTTCAGACCGACCGACGACAAAGAATTATCGCGGACAGCCGTTGTCGAATATTCCTCGAATATATACTATATAACTATAGTTATACGTTTCTCTCGAACGGGTAACCGCAATGGCTTTTGTGTCATTAGTTAACCAGTCTGCAGAAAACTCGGTCCTGTCGACACAGCAATGTTGTGCAATGCGACAAATGATTTTAGCGAAGTTAATCTCTACAGAATTCAATAAGCGTACAATATAATATTTGCGAGCTTCTGAACTTCCGGTCCCCGTCGCTTATTTCCGGAAGATTTTCCGAATGCGGCGTGTGTCAAGGTTTAAGACGTATAGCATAATCAGCAAACCCACATACGTACAATATTATTGTTCTCAAGTATTTCTCGCTAAAACGCCTCATCAACGTGGTTATTTACAGAAAATTATTTAGTTGCGCATAACATATTACTATGTACGTAAAATAAAATAAATTATTATTTTTAATAGAATATGTTTGTAGAATTAATAAAAATTGAAAAATAATCTCGTAATTATTTACCAAACCGGCTAGTTCTTAAGTGTCGTGTAAAAATATTTTTTAAATTGTTCTCTAACCCAAGTATAATTCCAAAATTCAGAATTACTGACTAGATAATATAATATTATGATCTAACATTATAACGAGTTAGATGAATACTTTTATAATTATTTAGAAAGTTTTAAATGTTTTATTCGTAAATACTAAGTATCAATTATATTATAGTTACTTCTCTAAGAACACTACGATAAAAAGTTTTTAGACTAATATATTATTCAATAAATACATACATATACAATACATACTACATATTGTAGCATTATATATACTATTATACAGTTCAGATAGGATAAACTAGTGTAGATATACACAACAATATGCGATACACGTAGATATTAAATTTAATCGAAAACAACTTTTGCTGTATGCTTGTATAATAAATTGATAAACTTTTACCGAGCGCATTTCGTTAGAATTTTAGTATAAATCATTACGTACAACTCGTTTAATTTTCCAAGACATATTATTATGATTATGTTTATGTCACGCTGTATCAGATAATACAGCTATCGTATATTTTTTATACGATAATACATTATAGTTGAATAAAATCGCTGCGGGGGAATAACAAAACCAGGTAACTCATGACATAGATGTATGTAGAAACTTACAAGTACAAATTAGTCGATGTATCTTCTCAATATATTTATTAATATGAAATAGAAATGTAGAAATGTGACGTCCAATTTTATACAATTACTAAACTATATAATTCAGCCATAAACTTACATACTAATAAAATAACTTAGGTGCTTATCGTCTTTTTACATTAAAACAGACGCAACAGATAAATTTATTATTAAAACATTGTGAGAAAACAACGTTACGCCATACTAAAAAGCATATACACCTTAATCGATAATAAAATGTTGTCTACTTTGGTATTCTCTGCAGTCCCCTTCAATCCATTTACTATTGGCAACACTAAACTCATGTGCGACGCATGTTGAATTCACTGTATTTTTTTTACGATAAGTAAAGTCGACTGTTGGAAATTGTAGCATTGAAGAGTAGAAATAAAAAAAAAAAAAAATTCGAAGCTTTATAAACGCTTAAAGGCGACAACAATCGGTCCGTTCAAAATTAAGTCCTCTCCGCCCAACGTCCTCTCACTCAATACCGTACAAAGCCGGGCTTAAGAAAACCGGCCGACCGTAAAGCTGATTTTTAGAGTAGACTTCTTTTTATCCTATATAAATATATATATACGCCTAATACAGAACTGATGGGCTGAAGTTCTTTTTCTTTCGTTTCGTTTTGAAAGGCACAACCGAATAATGGGTAGACGGCGGCGACGGTTGTAACTATAATAATATATACTATAGCGTACGAGGAAGAGAATTTTTACCTGTTTTTTTTTTTTTTTTTTTAATGCCACTGGACCTATCCAGCTTTTTAAAAGCCCAACGAATTTTGTTTCCATTTGCTCGAGTGATTTTTATTTACTGCTTTTAAACCAATGACCAAATACTACACGGGTATAGTTAACGTGCATATGAAAACTGTCTTGACAATCGATTATTAAAGAGTAACTTACACGCAAACCAGTCGTATACCGAACATGAGGCCAGGCTATTATGATAATTTACGACTGGCGACATATTTTATTTTTAACAAACACATAGGCCACACAAATGTATACAATAACGCCCGCTTTTGCGTTGAATTTAAACGACAACATTTTTTTTTTTTTTTTTTTTTTACAACACACCTAGAATGCCTATGATCAAGGAACCAATTAAACCCGTCTAGATGACAGCCAAAACAGATCGACAACCATATTTTGTCAGTCACGGTATTTTTTTATGTTTTTTTTATAAACCGCTGGAGACGTCCCCCAAAAATAATAATAAAAACTTGGATGGCAAATTAACTTGGGCGTTTTTGTTGGCATCGTTTCCGTCATCCGTTGGCAACCCTAAAGAGGCGCTCAATCATACACGTAATCACCATAAGGCGAATATTAAGACAACATTTTTCATTGACAGTAATATCTCACTGACAATATAATTTTGCATAAACCAAATCATTTCAAATGAATTGCATTTTGTCTACGAAAAAATGGTACAATTTAAATGAATTGTAACTAAAATATAATTTAAATTATAAGGATTTTTCAAGCCCATGTGCCAGATCTACATTCTAATAATTAATTTGCTAATAGTTGAAAAAAAAGTAATTAACAAAAAAGAAAAATAATGTGTAGATACTAAAGACAATAGATGTTCTTGAGTCAAGACGACTTTTAACGATTAAACATCAAGATATTGAAATTGTCTACTTTTAATAAAACATTTTTTCCAATACAAATCAGAACAGAGTTCACTTTAAAAACGTATTGTGACAATAAAGTACATGTTTTTTTTTAGGTTTTTAACATAATAATTTATATTTTTAAACTTAGTAAATATACCTTAACATTCTAATAAGTATATGATACGAATAAGTGTAAGTACTCGTGTCGAATCCTAATACACCCAGAATCATAAGTTCTAAATTCTATTAAAATAATACCGATGATGTAACATAATTAAGTTTAAATATTATATCATGTCTAAAAAATACTAAATTTAATAATAACTGTTGACATTTAAAAAATTCTAAGGTAAGTAATGTACCTACAGTAAAAATTTTTCGAACCGGGATCCAGACTTAACTCTGTTACACTGTCAATTATTTATATTTTTATTGTTAACAGGCATAAAAACGTAATACATAAATATAAAAATATACGTAATTGTAATA